TTCACAAGTGTATCAATGAGAGTCTTGTCTATATGACTGCCAACGCACGCAAAAAGATCTCTAAGATTAAAAAAGGTATTCAACAAATACTAGCATGATCGCGAAATTATTCTTGATTCGCCCCACATCACTCTATATATTACGAATACTTTTGATTTAGATGTGTGGTTGATAGATGAATAATACTTTCAAAGAGAGCGGTTAATTACCTTTGAAGAAATAACGAGGCTGAACTTTGCATAGCTAACTCTGCCATAGATTTTCTGTTTAAAGAAAAAAATAAGAGAAGAACGAATTCTATATTTTCATTAAATGTTCATCTTTTACGGATGCAACAAAGAGTGCTTAGTGTAAATCCACTTCATATTCTGCCAACTTTGCCAACTAAAATTACACTAATTAAAGAAGATCCATTCCCCTTTTTTATACTAGTTTCAAGCGCACGAGTTGTACACGGTGCTGATCTATTTTTTAGAAAAGGACCCTTTTTAGTTTTTGAGAAATATGGCTGTGAATATCGTTGATTATCGTTTGAAAAAGCACGTTTTTTCTTACGCGACTTGCAGAGAGTTCTTTTGCCTCTCTCGAAACTTGCTTGCTCAGACGATAACCCACGATACTCACAGCCATATTTCTAAAAGACTACATTGCGTCCCTTTCTAAAAAATAGATCAGTATCATGTACAGCTCGTGTACTTTAAACTAGTATAAGAAAAGGGGAATGGATCTTTTCTAATCAGTAAAATTTCAGTTAGCAAAGTTGGTACAATACAAAATAAGTTTAAAGTGAGCGCTCCCTCTTATAGAGTATATAAAGATGAACATTTCATGAAAATATAAAATTTGCTCCTTTCTGATTTTATTCTTTAAACAGAAACACAGAAAAAAATAAAAGGGGCTTTTGCTTAAAACATTCATCAGTTAGCACAAGAAGAAAGTTTTATATCACGCGTGATATTGAAGCAGATAACTGAGTGTTCTTTCTTCAATTAAATGCCTCATGCGCATGAGCAATGGACGACTTATTCTTTCCAACGTAAACACGAATAATCAGGAGTGGCTACATACGACGACATGAATTTTCTTCCTGTGCGCACTTGAAAGACACTGTTCCACCTGTGCCCACGAAAAATAATTTGGAAAAAGTTGTAGTTTGTGCCATTAACACTTATAAAAATGTTGCTACACTCGTGTTCACGCAAAAAGATAATACCTCACGTATGTTTCCGTATGAAAAGTCATCCTCCACTCGCGTTCACGAGTAAATGAAATGTCTCACATGCGAACTCGCAGAATCTATTCGTTTTTACGTCTGTTCATGTACATAAAATTATCTTTTTACGTGTGTTCACACATCAGTTTGTCAGAAGGAGACCATTTTTGCAGTGTACACGAGTGGGAAAGTGGGAAAACATTTTAGCTCGTGTTTACTCTTTTATTAACTAAACAGAAATTGCGCAGTGAAAAATTAGCTATTCTGTCCAAATTCTACCTATTTTCAGTTTGATCAACATTTCTAGTGCAGTTCTAATTTCGTTCGAACAAAACTAAAATTACGATTTTTCGAAGAAACTGGAATTGTACTTCTGTTCTGCCGAAATTAGAATTTCAATTCTGCCGTTTTCGATATCTGGATGGGCTCTTCTGGAGCATTCTTGCAAAATGTCCATTTATGTACTTTATTAGTAAGCATACAATAAGCGCATGCGTTTGGTGATCAAAATTTCCACACAGATAGCAAAAAAGGGTGTTCGATAACTACTGTTATATGTATTGTTTTCTTAACATTCGAAAATGCAAACAACAACTTCCTTTACAGAAGCCAAGCAACATGAAGATGAACTCAACTATACTTAACATACATGAAACAAAAACTAGTGCATTCCAATTCCATGTTGATAAAATTTGTGATTAATCGCTGCTTATACTTTTAGTTATTTTGTTGGTCGATTAAACCAGAATCAAAGCTACAAGTAACGTTCATCTTTGATTCAGTACACTCTTGACTGAAAATGCTTGGTTCTGACGATTCGAATAGCGAAGAGAAGTATAAGTAACTATGCGACTTATCCTTTACCTACACGCTCAGACGGGTATCCATTCTTTTTAAGTTCGATCGACCTTTACTACAGTAGTTGGCTGCTTTAAGACAGATGATTAGATATATAAAGGCAAAAACGACGCAAAGCGAAGCAATAAACGTGAAGTTTTCAGCTTACGTCAAACTATCAAGTAACGAGGTAAAAGATTTTCAGGCACCACAAATAACGTTCACTTTTACTCCAGCTACCTAGACTTTAATTGACACTAGAGAACCATAAGTGTATCAAAAACGTTCTGGAGCTCCCTGAATACTTCCTTGAGACCCTTAACCCGGATGCCACGCTTATCAAATTTTTCACACATACAATAAAACAGAAATCGGTAGAAAGTCTGAACGGTTTGTGAAAGTGAAATAGAATTTCGATCGGCTGGGCCACTTCTAGCGATTGTTCTTGAGCGTTTTTAGATTTATCGTAGTCGTGTCTGCACGTCTTTTCCTGCATCTCTAATACAGTATGTTTGTTCGTGTCGACAGACAAACATTTTTTCCATAATATTCTGACTTCGAGTGGAGAAAATGAAAACTCAGCGGACTCTAAAGATTAAGCCAAGCTCCTTGAGTCGCCTGGGTGCACTTTCTGAAGACCCATAAAACTTCTGGAATCGGATCTAGTCCAGTCTCCATTGTCAATTACCTATTCTATATTATTTTCATCCATTCAAGTTGAAAAAATGTTCGACCCATAGGATCGCTCGTAGAGTCACGCATGACCATTTTCCAAGCAATCAGGGCAAATTGTGCACTCCTCTCTATTCCCGTACAATACACGACTGGTTTTTAAAACACAAAAGATATTATCGACTATATACCTAACTTATATTTACTAATTAAATTTTGAAAGCGAACAACGACTTTTATATGAAAAGTTAACAAACAGAATATAGTTTTTTACGGACAAAAATTTGTTAAACAAACGAACTAAACAGCTATGTTCTCTTATATTTACAAAACAATTCTGAGTCACATCATGTAATTGGATTTATACCGCTTGCAATGATGATGGATAATGCCACAGCATTTTACGGTCACAATCAAGCAATATTTTTGGAGACCTGCGAACGCAAAGCATCATCGAGTTCGTCGTGCATTCCGAAGAATATTTGGCACTACATCTATTCTGTGAACATGTGTTTGATCCTCTCAAATCTCATCAAATCACTATCTCAACAACTAAAAACAGTTAATGATCTTGACAAATGTACGATAAAAAAATACATACTGCATCAACTTAATATTGCGTCCCATGTAACAATTTCGACTCCAAAAAAAGGCGTTTATAAACGCAATCCAAACGCGTTTAAACGGCTTAAAAATGAAACATTTGCACCGTTCAAACGCCTTTTGTTTCGCTTCTATACCAACGTATTTGAATGCGTTTACCAGGCAAGTAGCGTTCAAACGCGTTTTGTTCATCAAACGCTTAAAAGCGGCCTAGAAATGAAACATTCGAAGCGTTCAAACGCGTTTATCAAAACTTCCGAAAAAAACAAAAAAAAAGAATGTTATGTGTCACTATCGATATGGCTGTCTATATAGTTCATTTCCTTCAAGATATCTCTATCCTTCTCTCTAGCCCTTTCCAGCCTGATGTTGCCATTTGGCAACACTTTTTGCTGTTTTTCGAAACAGCCGGCTGGAAAGGGCTAGAAGTAGCAGAACAATTATTACTTACGAAATGACGGCGACTGGCGGATTCAAACATGAGACCTAAAGAATAGAGAGCGAGACACGTACCATTGAGCTATTGGTGCTCGACAAAGATTGATATATCTTTCTGTCATATTGTGTACTATGGGCCGAAAGAGTAGAAACCAAAGAAAGAAAAGAAATTCTCTGACGACTATAACGAAAGAAGTACGTCATTTTCTTTTATTTCTTATACGAATTCAAGTAGACTACATTCACTAGAGACTTTTCTTTTCTTCAGTACTGCGATTATGATGCGCATGAACAGAACAAGCGGTTACCTACTGAAAAATGTCGCCAACTTTTTTTAGCGAGCCCTTCATATTCCTAAACTCTTTCCAGATCAAGATATTAGCCGTACAGTAGCATTTTATTTTAATGTTAACTCTTCATAAACAGATGAACACATGAATTAAGTTACATCCAAATTTTAGATGAGACTCTTTTAACATTTAGTTGAAGACTTGTGCTTTTGTATGTCTCAAAAGTAAGGTATTCATTTATTTAGAGAGAGTTAGTAGTAAAATAAAAATGTAACCTGTTCAATAATATAAACGGTTTTGAACGATGTCTGAACCTTTTTCAAAACTGCGTTCAGGCGTCTGTTCAAATTAGGACGCCTCGAATACGTTCGGAGTATCAGATATCTACAGCGTGCCGAGACGTTTAATAATAGGAACGCTCTCAAACGCCGTTGTAACTTGTTTCAGAACAGCGTTCAAACGTCTAATCAAATCGAAACGCCTTAAAACGCGTTCAAAAAATTAAACGCGTTCAGAGTATTAAATATCTTCGACGTTTAAACGCCTTTAATAATCAAACGCTTAACAAGAATTTATGAAAAAAAAACGTTCAAACGCTCCTCGCACATGAGGGCGTTTAAACGCGTTCGACTCAAACGCAGGTTTTTACAAAACGCGTTTAAACGTAGATTTAAACGCTCAAAACAGCGTTCAAACGCGTTTTTTCGAACGCAAACGATTACATGGGATGGCACTTGTACAAATAGTATTACAAGTAGCTGTCGAGCAAATATGAAAATAACACTTTCAATTCTTTATTCTTAAGAACGTACTGAGATTTACATACGTATATCAAACTCGCTAAGTATCTTCGTTATCCCTTTCAGATTTAATAATCCAGTGCAAAATGCAGCCTATAATTCCCGAACTCAAGGATGGCTGTTATAAAACAAGCGAACTAAAATTATAACAGAGCGGGCCTTCGCACAGATAAAACAGTTAGCAACGTATGATAAAGTGAGACAATCACTGTCCTTCACTTTATCTACGCTAATACAAAAAGAAGCCAAATTTTTACAGAACTACCCAAGCAGACAAACATTTGGAAAAACGCGTTTAAACGCTCAAAAGGGAACCGCGATTGTGAGTCAGTAACGCTCATTAAAAAAACGCAAGAAACGCG